TGGAATTCTATAGTCATTGTATACTTGCGAGACAGAGACCTGAGTAATGTCATTTCATTATTACAATGGACTTTTGTTATGGGATCTTTTAAAATGTAAATATAAAAACTTGTAGTATTAACTTGTAAATCATAGACATATTCTATCATCTATGACAATCTTGGTTAAAGACTATTTATAAGACATAAATTTGTCAAAGAAAATTATATAATTTTTCGTGAATTTTGCCCGTTTACCACAAAATTACATCCACATTTTTTTTTCAAAAACATCAATATAAAATAAAACTCTGTTGTTTATTCAATTTTAATCAATTAATGTTCACTATATATCAACTTTGCAGATATCTATATAATGAATATCTTGTTGATAAAGTTCCAAACATAGTTTCACATAACTTTTAAAAGTATAATCAATCAAATAATTTATTTTACTTAACCCACAAATATGAAATTTATAAGTTATGAAATTAATCATCAAAACTGCAATTTCTATTAACAAATACACTTCAAAAGAGAGTACCAGATTATCACTGAAAATATCATTTGATCTCAATATCTTTTCTAGTAACTCCAGTCACAAGTTACATGTGGTGAATTCTATATCTACACAGACCAAAATTATCGACTGTTACTCCAATACACTAATTAATACTTGATTTGTGGTTTAAAATTCAAAACCAATTAAGCATTCGGCTAGTTAACCACAAGCAGTGGTTAATTTTCGTTCTCAAACTGTGCCAGCACCTTCGACACCGCTTCTCTGTCATCTTGGCTCTTCGTGATTTAAAATGTCAGGCGTCTGGAGTGCAAAAGGTTATAAACAACCTCACTCAGTCATCATGCCAGACACATGTTCGGATTTCGTCATTGAGCCTCTTGGAGCGCCAAACGCACTCCCACTCGCTTTACACCCGCAAATCACGTCCAGCTCTCGTTCTTCGATATTTTTTCCAACGAGGTGAATTTACCTATCAATATTGATATCAATAGTCGTAACGCAGGTTCTGGCGCCCCTAATAAATTGGCAAACGCCTGAAGAAACGTGAGGTCGTCTGCAGGTGACCCGGCCATGGTTGTTGTCGAGGATCAGCTGATCGACTGATGCGTTGGTTCCTCTCACGCCGCCGGCAGCGCGCACTGATAGCACATTTCTACTCTTTTTTTTTATCACTGGATAGTGGGTAGGGGGATTGTGACATTATGGTACCTTTTATCAGATCGACATTTTGTTTTATTGTATGTGTTGTACAAAGGGAGTGGACTGTGTTTTATTTGCTGCACTTTCACCCATTTAATTATTGTTGTCTATGGTCACTTTCTATGGCACAGTACGATGACAGGGAAGAAATGCTTCTTTTACTGCATTGGTGCGTTTTTTATTTTCCTATAGTCATATGGTTGAGGGAGACCTAATATTTTTTGACAATTCTTTCATCATCTTATTGTGTTTGATAAGATATTAGGGATAGTATAGTAACAATCTATCTGTTTCTCACTTTTAGTCTTTTTTTTTCTCTGTCTCTCTTTTTGTCCCCCCCCTCTCTCTCTCTCTCTCTCTCTCTCTCTCTCTCTACTCTCTTCTTCTGCTCTCTCTCTATACATTAAGTAGAACTACCTCTCTCTACTACTAGAAGCCAGCATATCCTAAAATATTCATATATCATACCTGATTCCAGCTCAAAAATAACTCATTACATTTTTATAAACGTAAAGCTCTTTCAACATAAGTGTATAGGTAATATGATCAGGTTATTACTGGTACCAGTATTAATTTGTATCTAGATTCACGTACAAAACACATTAAAAAGGTATAAAGTACTGCGTACACAAACATACACAACGTTTTGTGTAAAAGTTAACATGCACGAACACACACTTGCATGCATCCGCATACTCCACGAGACACAAACTTGCTCATAATTCTAGTTACTGCTTTGCATGTTGCATATTTCATGTGCATGTATATTATTGTGTGTGTGTGTGTGTGTGTGTGTGTGTGTGTGTGTGTGTGTGTGTGTGTGTGTGTGTGTGTGTGTGTGTGTGTGTGTGTGTGTGTGTGTGTGTGTGTGTGTGTGTGTGTGTGCGTATATATATATATATATATATAATATATATATATATATATATATATATATATATATATATATATAATAGAGGAGAAAGCCAAACTCTTGAAGAATCTTTTAATGTTTATAAGCTTTCTCGTCATAGCTTTCCAAACGATAACCTAATTGACCATTCACCATGACGAGTATAAAATGACACTCTAAACAGTCACCAAAGAGCCAAGATCACCACCACCCTCGTGTAGTGGCGATCGTGACGACTTTTAACCTGAATGGTGGTGATGAGCAAGGACCTTGGTGATGAGGGCTTGGCGTGGTGTACCGGATATTTGTAATCTGATCACCTCCGCTAGTTGCTGGAGATCTCTTCGCCACAGCTCTTTTAAAGCTTCTCTCTTGTTGCTCTCGCTCGAACAGAGAGGGGCGGGAGGGCGAAAGAGGAATAAAAAGAGAGAGAGACAAAGAGGGGAAAAGAGAGGGAAAGAACGGGAGAGCGAGAGGGTGACTGATAGATGGATAGACAGAAACAAACAGGCGAAAGGAGGACTAGGAGAGAATAAAAGACAGACCAAGAACATCGGAAATAGAGATATAGATAAATAGATAATGGAATATGGACAGAGAAAAGCGAGTGGCAGCTATAGAATATGTATGAAACACAATGTGTGTATGTGAATGTAACGAGATAAAGAGATGGAGATACAGGAGTATATATATATTATATATATATATATATATATATATATATATATATATATAATATATATATACATACACACACACACACACACACACACACACACACACACACACACACACACACACACACACACACACACATTTACACACATATACATATACATAAATAGAATAAATAAACATACACACACACACACACACAGAAACAAGAAGAGAGAGGAGGGTGAGACACGAACAGAGAAGTTGATGAAGACGAATGGGATGGCAGGCAGCAGCGTTCGCATCTGTTCCGTATACCAGCACTATGGCGACATCCGACCTTATCTCAGAACTCATTTTACAACCGCGTGTAACCGGCGTGGTGCATCTATGGTCGTGCTGTCACACACGTACTGGACTTGAAGGATCTCACGTAATGAACTTTAAGGCTCTCATTCAAATGACACAAAAGTCTTGAAGACAAAAAATAACAATTATTTACAATTATACATTGCTTAAAAAAAAAAAAAAAAAAAACAGATTCTGAGTGGAGTGCTTTTCCATTCGTCACACTCAGTAATAAACAAGGAATTGAATTCGCTTGGACTTTTCTGGATGCCAAATCGTTTATCATAGGGGATCTAGCTCCTCCTCACCTGATCATCATGCGATTAGATCCCAAGTTTATCAGTGCTTCTAAATACCGCGTGACCCTGCCCCTCCCGATCACCTGATGTCGGGCTCACTGACCTCGAGGCTGCTTCACCTTTTTCATATTTATACATTTATTTTCTGTTTAGGTTAGCAAGAGCAGTCTTTATTCAGTAGGCATAATCCATATTTGGTTTCCATATTTCTACATTTACTTTCTGTTTAGGTTAGCAATAGTAATCGTTGTTCAGTATACAACATTCATGTTTGGTTTTCACATCTCTACATTTATTTTCTGTGTGTGTGTGTGTGTGTGTGTGTGTGTGTGTGTGTGTGTGTGTGTGTGTGTGTGTGTGTGTGTGTGCGCGCGTATTATTCGACAGGTGATTCTCGAGATAAGAGCAGACTAAAGTTCTCTTGTAAGCCAGTAGGAACTGGCAGTGGTGCAGCAAGAGAGCAAACAGGCTAAGTATCTAATCTAATAGATTATCAAGACGTATACGCTCGTTATCCTTCCCAGGTCCTTTTCGCCCTTGGATTTTGGCTCCCTGCCTTCTCAAAGTTCGATAGGCTCGGGAAAGGTTAGATCAGTAGCAACTCGAGGTGGTGTCATGGCGCTGATTCTATTTTTTGGGAAAAAAAGCACTCTGGGTTTATTTTGATGACGTCACAAAGGTACGGATGCTTTGTGAATATGGTCGATCATTTTGGTCTTTTCAATTTTCAAAAAGGAGGGTAAATTATGATTTTAATGGTTATATTTTCATGTTTCATCAAAACAGACGCCATGACACCTCGAGTTGCTACTGATCTAACCTTTCCACTATAAAAAATGGCTCGCTTAGACTGGATTCCGGGACATGAATAATAACTAGGTACACTAGATAATGAATTAGATACATATCACACAATGCAACGTTCTGCTAAGAATAAATCATTACGACTGTGAGGAGGTAATTAACGGTCCCGAAAACACGATGTTAACCTGAAATTCGCAAAATAAACAGCAGATTTGGGATGTGTGTGTGTGTGTGTGTGTGTGTGTGTGTGTGTGTGTGTGTGTGTGTGTGTGTGTGTGTGTGTGTGTGTGTGTGTGTGTGTGTGTGTGTGTGTGCGGATAATAATGATAACCCCGATTTGAAAGCCGTCTTTTGAGGAACGTTTCCGACGGTTTATTGGACCGATCGGCTCGTTGGTTCAGGATTTACGAAACGGATGCCGAGGGAAACATCCTGTCAGAACGCTGCCAATCAGCGAGAAAAGCTGCACCAGAATTATAAAACGATAGAATGGTGTGATGAAACTGGCTAGACTGATAGAGATGTTTCAGTTGAGATGAGTGTGGTGAAATTAGTTAATCTGATGGAGGAGAGTTTCGATCGAAATGAGTGTGATGAAACTGACTAAAAATGACATGTAATTTCGGTAGAATTGAGTGTGCCGAAACTGGCTAGACTGACAGAGATTTTCAACAGAAATGAGTGTGATGAAACTGGGTAGACTGCTAGAAATTTCTAGTAGAGTTGAATGTGCTGAAATTAGTTAGGCTGATAGAGGACATCTTCGATAGAAACTGGCTAGAATAATACATAACTTCGATAGAACTAAGTTTGCCGAAGCTAGCTAGACTGATAGACTGATTTTCGATAGAAATGACTGTATTAAAATCAGCTAAATAGATTGAAGATTGACAATAGAACGGAGTGATGAAAACAGCTAGTGTGATTCAATAGATTTTCAATAGAACGGGGTGGTGATGAAACTAGCTATACTGACAGTGGAGATTTTTTGACAGAACTGAGTGTCATGGAACTGGCTGGGCTGATAGAGACTTTCGTTACCCCGAACGTAAATATGCGATGCTCTACGCGACAAAAAGAGCCAAGCACACCATCCCATGAATTCCTCAGCATGACATATGACAGCCGAGACGGAGAGAGGGCAGCGCGGTATGTTGCGATCGGTGAATATCGGAATCGAGTGACCTTGCATTTCACTTTGTAATAAAGCTGCACTTATTGCGTTGCCAAATGCTGATATACTTTGGAGTAAGGTTAGGAATGGCGAACCGACATCAGAACTGAGTCCAGTCCTTTAATCGATATTTTTTTTTATCAGCAGGCCAATTATGAATGTTCTGCTCGAGTATCAAATTATTGTTTGAGACTGGCGCAAAATTATTCATTTCCTGAAAGGCCTACATTTACTCCTCCCTCATGCACACAAACGCTGTTCTGTTTTGCTACGGAAATTCATACATAGACTCACACACACACACACACACACACACACACACACACACACACACACACACACACACACACACACACACACACACACACACACACACACACACACACACACACACACACACACACACACACACACACACACACACACACACACACACACACACATCATATAGTATAGCACTGGATACCCTGTATACCTATATCTGAGTGTTTGTGCGCGTGTCTATATGCGCCTATCTATATGAGTACATATACATATATATATATATATATATATATAATATATATATATATATATATATATATATAAGTATCACGGGCGTATATCAACGTACAACACGTGTACCGACGATTCCACACGTGCAAAAATGTAGGCCAATAGACACATCGCATAGAACAAACGCATACATGCCGCGCCGCCGGTTTGCCAACTCAGCGCCAGGGGAGGTTTTGATAAACTGGCGCTGATGGGTGAA